TGCCACGCAACACAACGTTACATCTAAAAACGAGGAGTTGATAACAACCGCAATAACATTCAAGCAGCACGCCTTAAGAGCATGATGGCCCACGTTTCATAAGCCGTTGGATTGCATCAACTATGATTGAAGCCTTTGAACTTGGTGGTGGGCCCAATATAGCAGCCTCTAAATTTTTCGATAGTGACGTAGGGTTAAGTTTTTATTATATTTTTTATATAATTTTAACGTGCGGTTAAATAAATATATATTTAATATTATAAATTTTAAATAAATAAATAAAATTAATTATTTAAATTATACATAAAATTTTATAAAAATATGATATAAAAAATGATCTATAAATTATTTTTAAAATTTTTTATATTGCCCACAAAATAAAAAGATAAAATACGGCACATGGGATATATTCAAATGGGCAACAGTTGAAAGCATCTCATTATTTTCTTTCAAAGAAAAAGGAAAACAGGCCAAACTCTAGATATTTCTATTCTAAAAGTATGAACATCATGTCAAAGCCAAAATGAGTTCCATTTTCTGAAAATGAAAAATGATAATAAAAATAAATGTTAGAAAAGAACTACAATGAAGTCTTTTGTTAAATAATGACGGACGGGTAAACAAGTAACAATTTTTTTGGGATTGAACTGAATAATAAGGGAAGGGAAAGTGAAGAATGAGTAGCGAGACTTGGATAGGACAAAAATGAGAAATAAAATTTTAAAATTAATAACATGATATAAATTATGTTAACAAATGAATTTATATATATAATATTATAAATTTTAATAAAATAAAAAAATTAATTATTAAATAATATAATTTATTTTTTATATTTTAAATAATATAACTAATACTATATTATTAATATTAAAATTGTCCCCAAATCTAAATTCGGTTTATCATCATTCGTGAAGAAATATATGATAAATATTATTACAAAGTAAATGTGATACTAAGTTTTATAAGTTAATTAATTAATATAATCAGTTAATGATCTAAATAATTCAGTAATTTTCTTTTTTCATTGAAAGTAAGAGATTTTGAATTCGAGATGAAAAATGGTTATTACTCATTATGCAATCAATATAAAAAAAAAAGATTAATACAATCAATAATTTAATTCATATTAAAATTCAAATTACTATAATACAAACATCTCTTTTTACCTACTTTTTTTTTTTTTTTTTATGTATCTCTTTTTACCTACTTTAAATGGTAACAGTTGAATGCTTGGGTTTAACTGGGGAGATCCAGTCTTACCAACAAATTGAAAAAATCATTTATCTCCAAATTCCCTCATGTTTAAAAAAATAATAATAAAATAGCAGCTGAAAAAAAAAAATTACAAATTAAATGTGTGGAGTGGAACCAATTGTGGGTCCACGTAATACCGCGATTGTCCCAAACGGACGCCGGAGCGCCCACGTCGCTAACCACCTAAGAGGACAAATCGCCCACTTAAAATCATTTTTATTTAGTACTCCTATACCGCACGACACGAACAAAAATGCTCCCGACAAGAACTGATGCCCTCACATGAATTTATCCAGTTAAAGTAACAGATGACTGGTGATTCTAACTATACACCAAATCAACGACCAGAACAAACCGGACTGACTTATAATATAATTTTTTTTTTTTAAAAAAATGAAATTTATTAATAAAGTAATATTGTAATTTGATTGTGAGTTGTGACAGAAAAACTCGTTTCTTTTCTCATTTTAATTTCCCTTAAATCAAAGGTATCTTTAATTAATTTCCAGTAAGTATGACTATTATGGTTTTGATTTTAAGCTGAGAACCAAGCAATCATGGTAAGAGACGTAAGCCATCCATGGATTATTTATTAATTATTACACATAAAACTATAGCATTTAATTTGATGTGGAATTTAGAAATCGTGCCCCTAACGGAAACCGACATTGAAATAGACTTCCCCAAGAATCAACAGGTTAGAAAATGATGGTATTCATGATCCATTAATTCTCAAGTGTTATAGCTTAACAATGATTTCGGGCATTACAAGACCACAACCATGTTTTGCTTTTATTCTGCAGTAGAAACAAATATACAGAAGAATATTGCAGGTGAAGAAAAAGGTAAAAAGTATGGTATCAAAAGGCAAGGCAGTATAATATCTTCAATTTACATGGAAATAATGTTTGAAATTAGATCATGGTATATTAAAATAGTGATAAAGGTAGGTACTTCATGTTGAAGGAAGCAGAAAAGGCTCATAAATCTAAGTATTATACGATTGTATACCTGCACTTTTAAAAGTTCCTAAAGTAAACTACTCTTTCTCAGCTCACATGGGGTGTGGGGCATCCAAAATATAGTCCAAACGACACCACCCCATAACTTTTCACATGGTTCAAATCAGCTCACACTAGAGGGAGATATATATATATATATATATATATATATATATAATGTGTGCCCATGGCAGACCTGGCTGGCTGCAGCACAAATGGGAACCATCCACCAAACGTGCACAAAGGCACGTGATGTTTCTCAGACATGGTTGGTATTTAGTTCCTCGGTGTCTTTGCCTAAATCACTGCACTTCTGTTGATTTGCAATGTTACTACCATCATTCTAATTATCATGTCATAGCATATTATACATGACATGACATGACATGCGATGTTTGTACGACACATTTAATTTTTGCTTTGATAGTAGGGATAACAATCGGTCTCGATCCTCACGGGATTCCGTAGGATTTTCGTTACGAAAATGGGACGGAAAATAATATTTTTTCCTGTGGATAAGGACAGGAGACAGTTTTTCTATGTAAAATTTTATGAGAAAGTTTTTTTGTCCTGCGGGGCCTCACAGGCCCCATGGGAATCCCTATCATTATAAAAATTTTAAAAAATATATAAATTTATTTTATTTTAAATTAAATTAAAATTTTTAAACACAAATTCAATCCAATAAAAATTTAATTTAATTTAATTTTACTCAACTTAACCTAATTCAATTCATAAAAATTAACTCAATTTATTATCAATAAATTTATTAATTTAACTATTTATGTTAAATCTGTGCCCTTTTGTTAATTAGCAATGTTACTAGCATCATTTTTATCATGTCATAGAATGTTATTCATGACATGACATGCGATGTATGTATGGCACATTTAATTTTTTCTTTGACAGTGAATTTCAGATTGAGTGAGCTACCACTATTGACCGTTGACTCACCAAATAAAAGTGCTTTTATCATCGACAAATATGTATACTTACACAGAGTGGTTACTAAAGGGCCATTTTTGTTAACGGTACCCTCTGCTCAATAACATTGAATTTTGGGTTATAATTGTTAATTTTTGAAGAGTTGTATGTTTGAATCCAACGAAATTTCTTTCCTTCCTCTCCCAATTTACCTTCTAAATAATGTCAAATTGTTAAATAAAAAACAAAAAAAGGGCCATTTTTGTGGTCAAAGAATGCAATATGGAGAAGTTATATCACTGAATAGGAAAACTGAAAAAGTCATATATAGATGACTTTCTAATGGATAATAATGATCAAAGTTGTGGCAATGTAACCCATTGCCATTCATAGACTTGTTTGATTTATGGGGTTCCTCCTTTATCTACCAACAGGTAAATAAAAGTTTGTATAAAAACTTGAAGTATTTTAGGGGGCTATACATGCAAAGATGCTATGAAGATGATGGAGAAAAGTCAAAGTTGTAAACACAGCCAGTCAATACTTCTTGAACAGATGAGATTTTCTCAAAATATGAATCAGGTCAAGAATTGGGCCAGCCTCGGATGGGATGCCAGATCTTTCAATTTGGTGAAAATATTGAAAATTGGGACTTTTTTAAGACTGGGGGCCAATAATTAGGAATCTCCACTGGGAAACCTCCACATAGAATTTGTCTTACCTGGCAGTTAATTAAATGAAATTCCAAAAAAAAAAAAAAAAGGGAATTCTTCACAGCTTGCTATAAAAATCTTACCTCAGATCTTAATTTTCCCTCGTACTGACCACACACCAACTCCTTTGACAGGGAAACTCTAATATGGGTTGTTCAATTAGCTTCCTGCAGGCGGGCCCTGCATTAATTAGTGGGATATGTTTCTCTCTTTTGCTACTCGTGAGTTACATGTTCCCTACAAAAACGTACAAATTGATCTTATACCCAACCTTTAAGAGGATGAATTGAGTCTTTGCAAATAGAAGCAACTCTCATTTGATCTGAATTCTTTAACCAACCTTTAGGGGCAGAATTCAAGTCCCTGCAAATATATAGAAGCATCTCCTACATAAGGAAAAAAGATTGAAGGCTTTTAAAAAGTTTTCACTATCATTGTCGAATCCTAAACATCTGGAGAGGTCCATGTAATGTCAAGCAGGAACCACTTCGGTAAAATTATTTGGAACCTAAAGCAATTTATCTTTTTGTATGGAATATTATTCAATGTTACCACCAACTCTTGAGTTTGATATGGTGTGACAATTAATTTTGACCGCAAATAAAAATTCAACAAATATGTAATTTTTTAGTTTGGTATGGTAATGATGTTTATTCAACATTGAAAAAAGAATCATCAAACTTGATGTAACAAATAACTCCCATAGCAGCAATTAATTTTGCTTAAAAAATAAACTAAAGCATAATATAATAATATAAAAATAAAAATTACACATTTTATAATTATTGATAAAGAGATAAACTCTCTTAATATAATAAGATTCACCCCTTTATCAACATTCTTTATTAATAACTAAAATAATAAAATCAACACTATAGTATTCTCATTCAATAATAACTTTGACTTCCAACAAAATTCTTTAATCCAAACTTCAAACAGTGTTCTCCACATGTTCAATGTAGAAGAAAAGCTATGATCTTTAGCAAATATAAACGGGTCCCACTTTTGACAAAAATTGAGTTTGATCAAACAAACTAATCTCAAAGAAGGATGCATCTAGTCCTAATGGTGTTAGTGCGAGTTTGTTCAAGACATCCATGTTTTTCACAACACAACAAACTACCACTTCATAGTCTCTCAGAAAAGCTGGAAGCCAGTTCCTAATCTCAATACATGAATACAAGTCACTGAAATGAAGATATTTCACTGTCCAAGAAAGCTTCCTTTAACAAAAACTAATAATACTTACCAGCTGGTTGATTCTCGATTTCAGCTGGATCCCAACACAATCAAACCAGTTTATTCAGCAACGAAGATTATGCTTTTGGAGTACAAAATAATAATCAGCAGAAATTGACAATAAATCCAAAGTAAAATCATTCGAAGTCATTTAGAAGACTTTGGGATGGGGAGTTTTGCATGTTTTGTGATCAACTCAAAATGACTCATCATCACATTAACTAATAAGAGCGAGCCCAATAGAGATGAGTAGTTATACTTAAATCACATGCTAAGGCGTTTACCTTCTCCCAGTGGTCCACATGCAGGCAGTTGCCGGTTTAGGACCACTATTCAGTAATTTAATTACCAAGGAATGTGCATGACATCAAAACCTAGCTTTGAGGTTCCTGACATAGCAAGTGAGAAGGACTTCACGAAGGATGTCCCAAAAAGATGCATTTATTATGTATGCTTTGAGACCACTGACTTAAGATGTTAACAGACAGAATATGGACTAAACCAAAAAGACATGAATTGAAACTCAAAGAGTAGCTTCATAAGGTGAGATTGACTGATACATTTGATAGCATGCCTTTGCATATCTAGTCTAGGGGTTTAAAGATGCATATCACCTACTTTCTGTCTCTTTATCCAAAGGAAAAACAATTATTAAACAAACTCAAAGCCATTAGACTATGGCTGAGAGGTTGAGGACGGAGAGAGTGAAATTTCTGTTAACAGTGAACTTTCATCGGGTATTCTTCGAATCTTCTACCATCAGCTTATAGAGGGCAAATCCACCTTGATGACATCCGGGCATGTTCGGTGCCATTTTCTCTAATTCATCCTGATAATCAGAAAAACTAAACCTGTTACTATAGAAAAATATTTTAAGAGCAAATCAAGTTAAATAATTATCATGAAAAGCTGAAATTTGTATTTAATGACAACCCTGAAACAGATTATTCAATAAAACTATATTTGCATATTTCTCTTTTATTTATTTATTTATTTATTTTGGTCTTCAGTTCTATATTTGTTTTTAGTAAAGATGTACTTGTCCCAGAACATTTTATTTTCTCCATTAAACAAAGAGTAACTTCTATCCATTCCTCTTCTACTTCTTTTCAATTGAGTGACTAGAAACAGTAGAAAAGCACTTCAACAACTTTTTTCAACAGTCTAAAGGTCAGAATTTAAAAAAGAAGGGATAACAAAACTGGTTTATAAACCTGTTTTTCATGATAGATTGAGTAATATTTCACAGTATAAGCCAACACATTTGACATTTAATATGCATGTTAATTATTTTGTCTCTTCAAACCTTTTTTTTTTTTTGAGTCAAACCTTCAATGAGCCATCAATACCATCAGTTCATTCTTTTGTCTATCACTCTTTTCAATAACCCTCATAAATATGTACTTAAACCACGTCTTAAATTCAACACCCTATGAGATATCCCAGGAAAAAGAGGATGCAAAATGTTACAAATCAACACCATCACTTTCTTTTGTTAACTCCGTCAATGATCCATCAATGCTATCACTCTTACTTCCTATAGTCCTAGCAATCCAATTATTAGCCCTACTGAATACCAATGCATGCTCTGACCTTCCAATATCAGAAGTTTAATTATACCATCATCACCTCATCAAGGTCACTACAGAACTGTACCACCAGACTGGAAATTTCCATAGAGACAAAGCAAATTCCATGGGGGGAAAAAAGAAATAGAAAATATTACTTACCATCAAAACTGTATATAGTCGTGTGGATTCATAGCCATCCTGTGCAGTGGAATACAATTGTTGAATTTCTTTTGATTGAAGACTGCATTTGATAAAGAAGAAAGCAGCAGGTCTTACATTCAACACCCTTTGAGATATACCAATAAAAATTGGATCAGACTGCAACAGATTAAGAAAGATGTAAAACAGTAAGACCAAGCTTAGCAGTTTCTAGATAAGAAAATTTAATCAGTAATGGAAAAATGCTACAGTGGAAACTTTACGCAAGCAGAAAAATGATATACTTTCCTTTAACAGCAACAACCCAAAACATTAAAGTAAAAGGAAGCATAAATTGCAGAGTCATATCTCAATTGCCTCAAGCTCAGGATTAACTATTACCTCTAGGGAAAATAGAGCAGAATTTCGAGGAGGAGACAGTATCCTCTGATGAGGAAATTCAACATTGTTTATGACAATAATGAGTTGAGTAAGGCATAATGGGCAGAAAAGCCAATAGAAGGATTCTATCTAAAAGATAAATATAATAATATTCAATTTTAGTAACTGAAACCATGACCAGAGAAAGAAAATACAAGTCACTGCCAAGGGATATATTATACACTAGGAGACTTTGTAACTCACAAGAGATGCAGCTGGAACCCCAATTTCTTCAACTACTTCACGAATAATACTGTCAAACATCTCATGAGAAACTTTCTCATTGCGAAACTTAGATTCTATTGTGTCCTTTCCATAATGATGGTTTGCTATGCCAACTTCATGAGGCTGTCAATGATCAGAATTGTATGTTTTCACCAATAAGTCCAGATAACTGATATAATGTGTCAGCAAAATAATACAGAGGAGAAAAGGACTTCTTATTGTAAAACAGGCTTTCACTATGCACCCTTCAGAAGGGCCATCAAGGAAAATAAGAAAAGAGAAGATCCAAGTGCAGTTTGTAAAGGGATGCATCGTTTGAGTTTCTGTATTTATTACCTCAGGATGGCCTCCTGGGAAAACAAAGTGCCCAGGAAATTCCCCAACATTGTTACTTCTTTGTAAAACAACTATTTTCTTGTCAAATGTCTCTACAACTGCACCATTACCAAGAGGACTTGAAGTGTGCTGACACTGTAGTGAGTCATCTACAGAATTTTAAAACTTACGATGAAGACATTAAGATTCAAAGCAAATAAGCAATAGACAATCCTAAAATTTGCAGCAATCTTAAAATGATGTCCAAGTTCAGTATCAGAAATTAAAAAATAGTCAATAACACCACTGTGATAGGAGAATCTAAATTATGGGATATTGCAAAGATCAAGAAGCAGATTTATGCTTAACATTGTCACACCAATGGTTGGCGAGGTGGGGGGGACGGGGAGATAATTCGTGTGATATACCTTCTGATGCGACCAAGAAATTTTCCCACAAAGGATTCAAGTTTGTCCCCACAAAAGTCCTGGTAACAAGTACATCTTGAATAATTATCTATGCAAGGACCATCAATGAGATACATTCATATTAAAGTGTTTTAAGGTATAAATACAGTGGTCATATTTCAAAAGAAAAGCTCCAATTAGTAACAGCACATAAAAAAAAGAGACAATTTCTGCATTATTTACATAATAGCTTAGTTTCACAGGCATCCAATTGCAACATTCCACACGAGTATGAAGTAATCACCACACTCACTTCAAATTGTAAAGATTTTCAGCACTTGGTACTCTCAAATCACAATTTTCCGCTTCAAATAATGGAGAATTTTATTTTTAAGAATAATAAACCGTGTTGATAATTGTACCATAATATGCATACAGATACAGAGAGTGAGTGGGAGAGAAAAACCTATAATCTGTCAATCCAAGGTGGAGGCATACACATGACTCTTGATTGGATCCATCTCCACTTTTATGAGTAAGTCCTCCATACTGTATAAAGACTAACACCACAAACATCAAGCAATACACTAACTGAAAAGAAATTGAATATAATTAAGGTAAAAGAGGTGAAAATACCCTGAATTTTTCGCCATTGTACAAAGATGCATTTCTCTGAACTCTCTGATCCCATATCTAAATACAAAAAGGAACACAAACATAAGCTATACATAAATCAATCGTACATCAGAATACAGAATTCCTCACCTCATTGATTGAGTTCTCCAAATTTATGTCTGGATGAGGAATCCTATCATATGATTTGTCAAAAATGACTTCAACCTTCATCCAACCAACAACAACAAAAATCAAACAAGTACATTAAACATAAAGGATGGATTACAGCAAACAGATTCGTATATCAGATTTGAGATGGTTTAATTTAAAACAAAAGGCGAACCTGTGCTCGGGAAAGACCAGATGGATAGGAGGCGAGAAGCTTGTAGGGGAGAGCAAGCTCAGCGGAATCTGCCTTCTCCATTCCGAGAAATTGCAAGCTAACACACTCCGGCGGCTGTTTAATGATTTTTTTTTTTATTTTTATTTTTTAACCTTGATTTTAGCCGGAAAAGGCAACCGTTTTACACGCGAGTGCTGCGGTGTGATGTGAATTTAAATCTTTGCATCAAGTTTGATAGAAATTGGCCTCTTCAAAGTTCAAACACGTTTTTTCATTTTCTTTTTCTATCAAAAGACGTCCTTTTTTTATTTTCTCTCTCTGTTTTTTTTTTTTTTTAAGATGTTTGGGTGTTAATAGAAAAATCATCTTTGATGGCCCAACCCAACTATTTTTTTGGACCTTATCCCTCAAGAAAATTTGTAGAAGGCTGGAAGTAGAGCCCATTTTAGTTTTTAGAAAGGAAAGCCCATTTTCATTAAGTTGGACCTGAGTCTGGGCCTGGATTTGTATCACATAATTTCTTAAGAAAATTAGCTTCTTTTTTTTTCCTTTTTGCCGCAAAAATTAGCTTCATAACATTGATAGAACATAATTCCTCAATTAAATTTGGAAAATAAGAACATTAATGGAGTTGTATGGTTCCATAATCTTTTCTGTCTAATTTTATTGTGACCACATAGAGCTAGAGACCTGTTCTTTTGCCTTTTATTAAAAAAAAAATTTATCTTTTTCTTTATTGAGAAATTCTACAATGACACAATTGAAATTTCCTGCTCACCAATCTTTTTAAATCAATACAAAAATGCTATCAAATCACAAAATGGCTTCATTCAAAAAAAAATGAAAAATGAAAAATGAAAAACATAAACAAAACGGTTCGTGAATTTCTTAAATTATGCAAACATAAGCTAGACAATACGTATTGTGATTGCACATGAATAAGGAAACAAATTAAATAAAGGAGCACATGCTATTTTTTTATTTGATGTTAAATTGGAAATATTTTCCTCAAAAACTCTAGCACAAGTGTCTTTCTCTTTTCCCTTTCTAGACATGTTTGGTTTCAAATTTTCAATGATTGAACTTTTATACAATTTATTTCCATTAACTTGTCAAAACTTTTCTTAAATTTTTATATTTACTTTCATTTCGCAAACAATAGAGGAAGTTTTTTTTTTTTTTTTTTTCCTTTTTTCTTTTCAATATTGTTAAAAATGCTATTACCCAATGCTCATAAAGAACATTAGGCACGGAACTCATGATACTATGTTTAAGTTTATATATTTTTTAATCAATTCATCTGATATTATATAAAAAAATTAATATGACATTTTCTTACTTAATAGATACATTTGTAAACTTTGTTTAGAAAAGCTTCTCAATATGTTTTTTTTCTTTTTTCTTTTTATCATCTTAAAAATATACAAAATATTAATTAAAATATGTAATCTTCCCTGAAGAAATATATGCTAGCGCAGGGCGCCGATGGATCTACTGGCCGCCCCTACCCTGCCCATGTTAACAATTATTAAAAAAAGGCTGACAGAATGAGGATAATTTTTTACTTCAGGAACAAACCAATAAGCAATAGTGAATGGCTCATTTCGGTTTAGTGATATTGGATCCTACTTTAGGATTGTTTATTTCCATAAGTGACGTGTTCGAATTCTATGAAACTCATTTTTTCCTCCCCATATATATATATATATATATGTAAATAATGTCAAATTGTTAAAAAAAAAAAAACCAATAAGCAACAGTAAAAGCAAAAGTGCATTAAATTGTGAATTTGATCTTTCAGAGGGGATTGGTGGTGTGTGCATTTGGGTCATTCAGCTTGCTCGTGAAACCAATTAATTGGTAGATGGCAATTTTAAGAGTAAAAGGTGGCTCCTGGACCCTACTAGACACACAGGACAGTGCAAAGTGCAAACACACCTATGCCCTCCCAATGTTACTGAAATAAAGAGCCCTAAGCTGGCACACACTGTTATATTATTTGTCTGGCACACGCTGATATATTTATTTGTGGTCTTCTTCTAATAGGACCTATTTATGGAACTTAATTGGCATATTTGAATTATTAGAGGGTTTTTACTTTTTAACCCTATATCATAATAATAAAAATACAACAAATATATCTTTTAATTATAAATTTATATTAACAAATAAAAATTAATGTTTAATTAATTAATTATCTAATTAAATTATTACATGTGGCATTTATATTAATATTATTGTGAAATTTTGCCAGGTTAAAAAGCCCCTTAGATGTGCTATCTTACATAAGAAATTAATAATGATCCTCTCAAGTAGTTTTATGGACAAAGGTTTGAATAAAAAGTATTTCTTGTCCAAATCACTAGAATACTCTTTGTGATGACAAGTCCTTTAAATTGCCTATAAAAAAATTGACATTTTTTTAATTAAATTCTATATATATATAAAAAAAAAGGCAATTCAAAAAGAGAAATAGCAAGAACTACTCTGTACAGTGTATATATTTTTTAATTCAGCTACTTAGCATATTCTTAAATTATATTAAGGCAAAAGTAAAACACATAAAAAAAATCTCCTTAAAATTCAATAGAACAAATCAGGTATTATCAATCAACAAAATAAAATAAAAACGTACATGAAAAAATAGACTTATAAAAAAAACAAAAAAAAAAAGAAAAAAGAAAAAGAAATGGAAGAAGAATATTCTGCTCTGCTTACCGGACCTTCGAACCCAGAACCCATGACTCGAGTGTTTGAGGACAAACACTCAGCCATTTGGACTGGGAAGAGGCCGGTAAATGGAAGAAGAATATTAAAAATGCATGGGATAATTGGGATGGGAAATTTTCATCCTTATTGATTGTAAATCCACCATGGGATTTAACAATAATCAGAAACTTATATAAATAATTAATAATCATCAAATAACAGAAACAAATGACGAATTAATTCAAACATCTCAGTATTTTTTTTTTCTTCTTCTAATTTTACCTTTAATTTTACAAAGGAAGTTTGGATGTGCTTTCATCTTCATTCTGAATCCATCCATATTTCTCCATGAATGGGTTGGCCAGAGAATTTGGTGGGTAGCTATCAATGCAGTCGTTCCAGACATTCCCCTCGCCGGGTACCGTCAAATCCCTCGTCACCTCCCAAAAACAGCTGTTGCACTTGAAACCGGCCCCGAAGCTTATCATGAAAATCCTGTCTCCCTTCTTCAGCCTCTTTTTCGCCTCCATGTACGTCAGAACGTACCAGAGGCTACTCGCTGAGGTATTTCCGAATCGGTGAAGGGTCATCCTCGCCGGTTCTAAGTCCTGTTCAGTGAGATCCAGACTCATTCCGATTCCATCGATCACGGCCTTCCCGCCAGTGTGGATGCAGAAATGATCCACCCCTGTTCTGAAGTTAATCACAGATTTGGTGGGAGCTCCTTTGGTGGTGGATCCACAACGGCGGCTATATTTCCGGAAGAGGGTAACCACCGAGAATCGAAGCAGCTCCCGTACGGGTAAGATTTTGGGGGAAATTTCGCGGAGGTTGTCCACGAACGCCCGGGTTGCCGCCTTGGGGAGGTTTTTCCCCAAAAAGAAACCCATCCTCCCCTGCTCGTCTTCCTTCTGGGTACAGCATCCGTACGACTCGTCTCGAGCACCGTGGTGGGTTCGCACCAGGCATTTCAGTTTGAACATCGCCCGGTGCTTCAATGTACGATTGTTGGTCAGCAGGATAACGCAGCCACCGGAACGGAACAAACAGTTGGCCAGTATCATCGATTTATCATTTCCGGTGTACCAATTCTGACTAAGAGACTCCGACGTCACCAACAGAGCATTCACGTTTCTGTACGATTTAAAAACGCTTCGCACAACGTCAAGAGAAATCAGGCTGGCGCTGCAACCCATTCCGGTGAGGTTAAAAACCTTGATATTATCCTTCAATTTGTAGCGATTTATAATCGTCGAAACCAGAGACGGAACAGAGGAAAGCATCGAAACGTTCACGACGAGGAGATCGATTTCCTGAGGGGAAAATCCAGACCGGGCTAGAAGCTTCTCGACGCTGTCAAAGAAGAACTCCTCCATCTCCGATATACTGTCGGCCAATGTCGGACTCTCTTCCCTGCCGGAAAAAACGATCCTCGGCGCGTAGGTTTGTTCCCCAATGCCGGAGCTGACAATGGCTTTTAGAAGGAACTTGTACTCGTTGAGTCCGAGGTTCTTGTTCCTCTTTATTAACTCGCCGCCGAACTCCGTTCCGACCATTCGGTCGTCTGTGGGCTTGTAACATTGATAGTCTAAAATGAAACATTCTTTGTCTCTCTTCGCAGCGACCCATTTCCATATCAAGTAGAAGGAACAGAACAGAGGAAGAAGAAAAATGAAAGAGAGGAACTCCATTGAAGAAAAAAGGAAGAGAACACAGAAGCTGCAGCTTGGTTTCCGACTTTCCGTATGTAAGGAGGGAAATGAAGAAAGAAAGATTACTCTGTTAATATAAGAAGAAAGAGGGTTGGAAATATGAGTTGGACATGTGACTCTGGACAACACTAATTTGTAATCTCCCAACTCCCACCAAATGTGTTTTCAAAAGAGTATTATGCAATGTAAAGTTTGAATCGTAGCAAACTGTATATTTTTAAATGAGGGCAAACTTTATGACATTTGGAGAATTGGAGTTAGATCTCTTTTTCTATTTAAATTTCAATGCAATTCCAATTACAAAATAAGAATTTAATTTATCTCAATGAATTTGTATAATTTCTAATTAAGTTTGTTACTTCTATGAGTGAATTATTATTATTATCATTATTATTTGTAATTTAATCAATTTAATATTATTATGCTAATATAAAATTGTATCCTTAAATTTATTGATAAAAAATTAATTTTAAAATATTTAAAAACTAGCTTGAAAGACTCTTAATGTTTCAATTAAAATAATAATAATGATGATTTAAAATTGTGACAAATTATCACGTGTTGATTGATGATTTATATATAGTAAATGTAACTTGTGTCATAAAAAGAATTTTAATTGGCTATTCAAAACTAATAAATGATCTATATGATTTAGTGAGCATCTCATTTCTTAAAAGTAAAAAGTCTTGAATTCGAATCATATAATACATAAATAAGATGTGATAAGAGATTTAAGATGATTGTCTTTTATTAAAAAAAAAAAAAAACAAAAAAACTAGTCATACTTTGTGCTCTAGAAGTTTACTCTCTGTATTATACGCGGAAAATTTCTAGTGGCTAGAATTAATACGCCGTTATTGTTCACAGTTAGTAGCTTACCCAATAAGGTTACTCCCATTTAAGAAAGGATAAATTTAAGGGTGGTAGATGAGAAAAAAAGGAGCCTGCCTATTTTCATTTGGACATGCAAACGTGCTCCAATTAATATTATATGAATTGGATATGTAACGAATGAATTAAGATAAACTTACGGAGTTGGAAGTGTTACAATATAAGCCAAACCTCTATTTGCACCTTTCATTTATTTGATTTTTACGGTCAACACTTGACAACATTTTTTCTCTTTATTCACACCCTTCACTTTTTTTAAAATTATCAAAAACTCAATATTTTAAGAGGTCGTAACGGAAACTTTAATACAAATTAAAAATTATAATACGTGGCACCAAAACAGTAATATGAACGTTATGTCATTTTATTAATCCAATGTGAATTTTTTTTTTTTTTGATAATGTGGCATTTCTTCATCTTTTTCTTTCCCCCTCATCCTCGGCATCATCTTCACCATCCTCCATCTTCACCATTCTCTTCTCCTCTTCTCAATGGGTTCTACGAAACCCAAATTCTAGGTTCTTGCGCAAAATCCAAATTCTAGGTTGTTGCATGGGGAATGCAAATTCTAGGTTTCGACCTTTTTTTTTTTCATTTTTTTATTTTCAATGTATATATCTTAGTTTCTTATTTTATGTGAAGCAATTTGGAATAATTTTTTTGTTGGAATGGTGAGTATTTTTGTTTGGAGATTGTTTCTGAATAGGTTGCCAATTTAAGTTCAAGTGGGATTAACATGAATGGTAATAACGGTTTTTTCGTTATTGGATTAATAAGGTGACATAACGTTCATGTTACTGTTTGGTGTCATGTATTGCAATTTTTAATGATTATTAACGTTTTTGTTACAACCTGTTAAAATATTGGGTTTTTGATGTCTTTGAAAAGGTGGAGGATGTGAATAGGGAGGAAATATGTTGTAAGGTGTTGACAGTAAAAATCAAATAAATGGAGGATGCAAATAGGGGGTTTTTTTTTTTTTGTTTCTCGCTCGGTATCCGGGGCTTCGTCCTGACTACTCCGGACTCGACCAGCTGTGGCGCACCAGAATGGTGGGTGGGTCTCCTAACAAAAGCTATTGCGTACACAAGGTTTCGAACTCGAGATCTTATTTAAGCTGGAACAAGCTGCTTGCTACTTGATCCAACCCCTCGTTGGTGCAAATAGGGGGTTTGACCTACAATATAATATTCTTAAATTTTCAAAACAGTTTCTTTTTAAAAATGTTCTTAGAAATTGTAGTAAAAGTTTATTGAATTTATGCTAATATAAGTTAGTCTCTATGTACCCATAACAAATTATCTAAATTGCACAATTTAATTTCTTAAATATTAATTTTAGATTCTAGAATATGCATGATAAATGATAGATTATTCAAGCCGTGAATAAAAGAAAATATAGACTTATATATATTGGGAAATGATTTTTGTATAATTTTTTTGTTTTGTTTTTTTTTTGTACAATTTGATATGTCATTAAAATGATTGATTTTTTTAATTTATGTGAGACTTATGATATTAAATATATCATTATCTTTACTTATTTAATGATATGTGAAAGTTATATGAAAAAATAATATAAAAAATAATATAAAAAATTTATTCTTATAACACCATACACACATATTATAAACATGAAAAACTCATGAACTTAATTATCTATTACAAAAAACTGTGTTACAATCCGTTACAAAGCAAACTGCAACCATTAACAGCATTCAAAGGGAGAGCGAACTGCAACCATTAACAGCATTCAAAGGGAGGGTCCCTTAATATTTGCCCTCCCTTTTTCTTATCAAAGGTATGTTACAATCTGTTATAGAATGGACTATAACATAAGATTTATTATTAACGAAGCAGTTTTTTCTCGCAACAAATTTGGTACGATAAAGAACTATAAAATTAATGAAGGATTAATAAGCCAATAATCGAGTACAATAGGCAACTACACGTACGGTGGATCAGCCATCTGCCCTAAAGTGGGGACATCCTTGAGTCATGTGGTTCGACTGGGCTAGCTCTTTCCTCTCCCTAAAGTAATATAAAAACAAAATAAAAAATAAAAAATAATAAAATTTCATTTATATATAAATTTAATATAAAATCTTAATCATTTATTTTTTATTTTTAATTATTAAAATTCATTATAATTTTTTAAGATAAAAATATAATTATTTTTAATAAATA